AATTACAATTTAGTTATGTACAATCACGGAATATGATCTACGTGCTCTGTCGGTAACGAGGGGGTAAAATTAGAAAAACTCCAGCGAGTCACATCTCCTACAATCCAATGCTCCATTTAGTCTAAAGTGGCTGATGATTATGACAAGCTGGATTACCATCAGCAGCAGCCCCAGCAGAGTGACAGGGTGACAGCGGCCTTGGTTCAGATAATTTAACAGTTTTTTAAATTCAAAACAGGTTGTTCCATCTCATTCTCATTTTTTGTTTATGAATAAATTATTTCTCATCATTGGCTTCTCTCCCTGTTCATTATAACTGAAATTATTGGCCCACACTTTCACTCATACTAATTCACCAGGCTGCCCTCTAACACACACACATGCAGAGAACCCCTACACACATTTAGCATCTTTACAATGACTGGCTCACCCATCCACGACTGAATATAATGAATAAATGCTCGACTGGCAATTATTCCTATTTGTTCTAAAATGAGGTCAGAGTTCAGATTTAATCATGGCAGACATCCACCATCACCACCATCTTTCCTCCATCTATTCTGCTTTTGCTGTACTGGAAGCATCTTCCCAGTGTCAGGTCGTGGCTGGCATCGTCTTAGTTGGAGCAGAAAATAAAATTTACATTTCCCTTTTTGTCACATCTCAAGGTCAAAGAGAAAAAAGAAGGCCAGAAAAACAAAACAACAACAACAACAACAACTGTAATGTGCTTTGTTGCACACTTCTGCCTTTCTTCATTAGAAATAGTATCAGATGCTCTTTGCAAGTCCGACGGATGAGCATAAATCTATAAATCCTAAATACATACATTAACCACTAGGAAACAGTATGCCATCAAGAGGACATCTTTCAGCTCAATACCGGATGACAATGTCTGTGAGAGATTTATCTTGTCCTGAAGGATTAGTTCAGGTTAAATTTCTCTCCGATTTTCAGACTTACTTAGCATCACCAGCAGGGCTGGTGGTCATTTAGAGAAATGAAGTGGTCACCAAAACTGTTGGACAGGCTGCCACAAAACAGTGAGAACAATATTTATGGTCCTGTGAGGAGAAACTCAGATGTTTTGGATGATCTTGTTTGTTTTCCTTTAGTGCTATCACATAGTTAATATCTTGAGCTTATAATGAAACATCTTGACTATGACACAGTACTTTGTGAAACTCTTGAGCAACTTGTCCTGGGTATATCCCACCTCTCACCCTGTGATAGCTGGGAGAGACCCCAGCCCCTCGTGACCCTCAACTGGTTAAGCAGAAGGGGATGGATGAATGGATGGATGCGTGAGATAGATGAACCAATGTTGTGTATTTTAAATTGTGTCTTTGTTATAAGCACTCTGTTACAAGAACACAATTAGTTTCCCATATTTTTGCAAAAGATAACACAGTTTGACAAAATAAATGAGTGTTTTAGCACCAACAAGGTGATTTAAAGAGCTGAAAACTTGGCATATGGTGGCACAGTGTACATTTCTCCTCGAAAAACCTGAGTACTTTGGACAAGAGGAGGACAAAAGAAAAAGCAGCTGGCCTAAAAAACTATTTACAGCAGATAAAAAGTATCTGAAAGTTCTGTCTTTTAAGAAATATCTGAAAGAGATGCACCTGGCCCTTGAGTAGATCCATCTACTGTTCACTAAAGCCTCATCAAAAATGGTCTCAGTGGATGAATGGCTGTCAAGAAGCCATTCATAATGAAGGCGGACAGGAAGAACAGGATGAGGTGTGCCAAATTACACAACAACTGGACTGAAAATCAGTGGCAATGGGTCTGATGGAGTGATGAATCCAAATCTGAAATTTTTTATTCAAATTATCATCAATATGTTCAGAGGAGGTCAGGAGAGAAGTGCAACACTGAGTGTCTACAGCCATCTGTGAACAATACTGTACTTAAAGAATCTACTAGAAAGTTTTCCTGAGAGAGGCTGTGTTGAGGACTAAAGGTGATCATAGCAAATGTTGACTTTCAAGCTGATTAGAATTGCACATCTCTGTTTTATATACCTTATATAGTGTATTTCCTGGCTCAAGCACAGTGCCATACAAATTCTCTAACTGTCCTTTATAGTGCAAACAGTAGCACAAAGTTGCTATTTATCAAATCAACTGGTTAATTTACAAATACTTGCAAAACTAAAGACATCTCCCAGAACTTCAGCTAAAAATTAACTAAACAACAACAACATTGCTTTACAGACATCATCAATTTAATGTTAATGTTACCAGTAAGTACAGAGTGAGCCTACATCTGGACAACACATGTGACAGTTAACTCTTATTGGGTATTCACTGGATACAAATCTTACAATAAGCATATTTTTGGAGCAGACTTGTAGCAGACTAAAAAATCATGAGTACATAATTTACATCATATCAGTTTCAGCGGTAAGCTGTCATTTCATTGGTCTCAGAAAAACTTTTTTAAAATACAAAAACAAGCTATACAATACAATATTAGTTTTATTTTATTCCAAAAGAATAAACTAATATTAAGCAACAATGAGATTAGAGTATTATTTTCTGATAATACTGTTAAATACTCAATAATTTTCTATAATTCTTAACCGGTGCCCTCGTTAAAGGGACTTCCTGACAATATCCAGACAGTTGCTCTGTACATACAGACATCCTGCATGGGAAGGGCACATGCTAATCCTCAAGCTAAAATCCCCTCTGACCAGATGTTGCAGCTTACAGGGACAGACTGGGCACAAAATTAATGGCTATCACATGCTCCCTAATGAAGGGATTGAACAGGGCATAGTCCTGTAGTGTCTGGGAGGTCATCCATGTTCTGCTGTGGTTCACTGGCATCAAATTAATTGTGTCCCACTTCTGTCTCACCTCTTATTTCTGTCCGTCTGCAGTGAAAAATATGACTTATGGAACTATCGACAGTGCAGAGAAAGATCTTTGATAAAAAGAGGCAGCGGTGGGGAATGGGTGAGGCTGACATAACGATAAACATACAGAGAAGGAATTTTAAAGTAGTTGCTATTTATTAGGGATTCCCAATGGTCAGACACAAATAGTCACGTGCTAATCAGATCCAGTTTTAAAAGATTAGCTTTAAGCAAAAGCTATGTAACCTCTGGAACACCACCCAGTGATTGACGCATGTTTAAGGTGGAATTCTTTTAACGCAGCTGTACAAAACAGATCGATAAATGGATTTTGACAGATGTGGCTAATGAATTTTGAACGTCACAACCTGGAAGGAATATGAGCGGCTCACCCATACACACACGCACGAGCACACACACACACAAACAAAGAACATTCAACTAAATATCTCATCTTCCCTCAGGGTCATTTGAATATGATCACTATCTTGATCGTGAAAGGTCTGACCATCTGTACAAGCTTGCTAAATACACATAAACAGAGCCAACTTATGCACAAAATCCACTTAAACACACACACAGGTGCACACACACACAGACACTCATTCACTGCATCCATAAGACTGAGTATAGAGCCTCTGGATCCATTAGTTATAATAAGCTGAAATTTACCAGTAATGCATCCTACAGCCGTAGAGGAGATATCAGATGGTTATATTTACCATCTGAATACCAATGAAGTAGCACAACATGAATAACCTAATTGAAAAGGACTGGTTTTCTCATACACATGTGAAAATGTTTTCACAGGACCACACAGAGTCGTGTGAAAAACAAAGTACACCCGGCGATTCAACAGCTGTAGAACCACCGTTAGCAGCAAACTATTTTTTTCACTCATTCTGTTAGAGATCTGCTGCTTTGCATCGTCTTTTTTCATGACCCATTTTTATGCTTAAGCTGTCGGACAGACGGCCTCACATTTGACTCTAGAATACTTTGGTATACAGCTCAGTGACTGCAGGCTGCCCAGCTCCTAAAACAAACCAAAATCATCACCCCTCCACCACCGTGCTTCAGAGGTGGTATGAGGTGGTGTGCTGGTATGTCAAAAGGACGTTGTTACAGAAGTGTTGTGGTTCGTTCAGATGCAACGAAAACTGAAACTTTTTTGTTGTTGTTGTTCTGTTTGTTTTGGGGTTTTTTTGCAGTTTCTTTGAGAATTGCACAGTTGGACTTTGGGGTGAATTTACTTGGAAGATTGTGAGACTGGTTGCTCCAGACCAGCCAACTCCAAAGCTCCTGCTTTTATAAAGGTGCTCAGACTTCCTGATAGTCACTTAATGAAATGTATTTGGTTAGCAGGACCTTGATGATATTTACCATCTTAATTCCTGTTGTGTACTTAGATCTTTTCACATGACAGCGAAGAGTCCTGTGGAAACTTTCTTTCTGTTTGTTTCCCTGAAGCCAATAAAGTAAACGTATCAACAAATATTGGGGAGGACCAGCAGGAAGAGTCTCAGTATCATTCAAAAACACACACTGTTTCATTTTAACACAAATGTGCTGATATATCCTCATAATGATGATAATAACCCATGTTCAAGTGGATGCCATCCAGATACTTAATGTGATCAAAAATATGGCACAAATCAGACAACAATGCACATTTTGATGAAACTCAGGTTTGCTGAGGTGAAGATAATTGCAAAGCACACTGGAGTGTTATATACTGAGCAGCACATTGTGCAGCAAATCATCCCAGCGTGAAGCGCACTATTACGCTTTTATTAAAGCCTCTCTGAAGCGCGGCAGCATCAGCAACGGGGTGGCAAGTGTTGCCATGCTGCCAGGGTAAGTCGGCATGATGATATGAAGGTGATATGAACTAGAGCATGATGTGATTGGACTGAGCCTGCACGGCAAACAGCGAGATGATGAAGGGGGTGATGAGGGAAGAAAGGCGGAGGATGAGAAAGCAGAGAGGGGGGGGGGGGGGGGGGGGGGGGTATGTGGATATAGTGGAGTTCAAACAGGTAAGAGTAAGGGGATTGGATGGGGTGACCTGATCGGGGGGATAAGAGAAATGAGACAGCAAGGGGAATTGGAGAAGAGGAAAACCACTTACCTTGACCCTGTGCCTTACTGGGGTAATAGGAAACAAGGGCCAGTAACACCAGTGGAGCCCACAAACACCAACTGATCTGCCCCATTGACAACATCCTCAAAACCAGCAGTCTAGACCTGCAAGGACAGAAAACAGATCAGCAAGAAAGAAAGAAACAAGAGCGGAGATTTAACTGCATGAATGTCACTCGGCTGCGGGGCGACTCAATGCTTCAGTTCACTGATCTAGAATCAGTTATTTTGTTTAATATCAACTTTTTTAACAGTTACAGAGCAGAAGCTTCACAGTCTACACTGACCACAGAGCTGCAGCTGAGCCTCCCGCCTACACAAAACGAGCCAGACGCAAAACAGTGGAGCACTTTGTTGAAGAGAAGAGAAGAGAAGAGAAGAGAAGAGAAGAGAAGAGAAGAGAAGAGAAGAGAAGAGAAGAGAAGAGGTCAGACAGAGTGACAGTCAGTTTGATTGACAGTCCAGAGAGGGAACATTTCACAAAGCCATTGTTCAACCAAAAGAGCAAACACTTCTTCCGTATCTCATCTCCTCCTTTCACCCCTCACTTTTTTGTTCTCTCTCCTCCACATTACCCCTAACCCCTCGCCTCCTCTCCCACCTCTCTGCCACTCTTTAGTATGAGCACTGATGGACACACAGATACCTTCTGATTTTCTCTTTTAGACCCACCTCACTACAGTCACACCTGTCGCCGCATGGACATGTGAAAGAAGAAAAAAGTCCTTTGATGACGATCGATCGTTCTGTGGTGTTGAATGAGCAGCAGGTCTTTCATTCAGACGTTGTGAAAAAGCAGAATTAATAAGAATACACAAGAATGGGGGATTATTTGTCCTAGTTTTTCATACTTATGGAGAGGGATGGAAAAGTGAAACTACTTCATTTGTAATAAATCTTTCACACACACTGACAATGCAACATTTTACACACACAAAAACTTCATCGGGGCTGCTAAAGTAAGATGATTAGACTCAGAGGGAACGTAAACGGTCCTCCCGTGGTCCTAACAGCAAACCTTTAAATAGGGACCAAAGTTTCCCTTGTCTCCGGATTGCATCGATGATGACGATAATCCGTCTTTTAATTCGAGGGGAAAATTTGCAACCGGTTTACTGCTTTAATTGCTTAATGAAGACCAGAGAAAAGGCGTCAACTTCAATAAAATCTAGCCATTTTTCCTTTAATTTTTTTTTTTTTTTTTTTTTTGGTTTTTAGAAAAATACTAAATATAATAAGAAAGACCGAGAAAGACACGCGGATCAGTTAAGAGTAAATAATTTTAACACATCAGGAGTAAAATACAAACTGATTGTTTCGTAGGTGAAATTTTCCTTAGCTTAAGAGATTTTTTTAAACATACGCTAAATTACTTGTCTATTTTCCACCTGCTCTCAAGCCTGCAAGTTTAATTTCATGACCGCAGCATGAATGCGTCCCCGGTGATCATGTTGAAGTGCTCCAGAGTGATTTAATTTAAGTTTCTCAGGCAGATTTCTCTCAAACTATCAGACCTATTCAAATGAACCGATTTGGCCGAAATACTCCAGCGCCAGCAGCACACCTGAGACCGACTCAGTTGCCCGCACAATGAATGAAATCGCCTTTCATACCTCTCCAGTCATCAATTCAAAGCGTCCTTTTATCCCCCAAAGGAAATCCCGTGAATACCAAAGACCGCTCCTGCTTCTGCCTCCCAAAAGGGTTCCTCTTTCTTCTCACTCTTTCTTCCCCTCTTCCTTTCTCTCACTCCTTCTCTCCGGATACAGTTCGTTCAGTCCGGAGTGGGTGTTTCTCTCCTCGTTATTCAGCCATCCCTCCCTCCGGCTATTCCTCCCTGTCCCAACCCTTTCCTTCACCCGGATTCATCTCACAGAGAGAAAGAGAGAGAGAGAGAGAGAGAGGAGCGAACCAGTGGCGCTGCGCAAAATACTCCGCTGCCAACCTGCAGGTTTCAAATTGGCTTCCTCAGGGTCCCTTATGTGCGCCTCCGCGGTCACGACGGGACTTGTCGTGGAGGACGTATCTGTAATCTGCGGCTTTAAAGGACCCACACGGTTATTGTATGTGCGCGGTCTTTTTTCTTCTTCTTTCTGAAAAAGGCTCTGTGCGCTCAGAGCAGGTGTCTGGCCATGCCCTGCTGCGCTGCCAGCTTTGATGTTGAAGGCACAATGACACAGGTTTTCACCTCAGCTCAAAACTGGAGTTTAAAAGAAAGAATCTGACAGGAACCATATGGAACATTTTAGCTTCACAGTTTCACTTTATTGCATCCATAAGCCTAAATGTTCAGCTCTGGGTTTATGAAAAAAGCTTGGAAATCACTTGAAATCTTTCATGACTGTTTTTCTGTTCCCCGGTAGAACAATCCTGTCTCCGCAATTTACCCAATTCAATTAAACTTCTGCCTGAAATAAAACGAAATATTTTGAAATTCAAATTCAAATATGAGCTCAAGTTCTTCTGTGTCAGAAATTTGTATCTAGTACAAAACATTTTCAAACAAATAAGTGCACAATGTTGGCTTAATCTAATTATAAGATTCTTAATTGTTCCTAACCTAAGACGGCGTCTCTCAAACCTCTGGGTGTTGGCTTAATTTCAAGTTTGTAATGTATTATTATTCAGTCAGCTAGCTATTGGGATTAGTTGTCCAAAATTGGATCCAACTTTGAAATGTCAAATCTTGTAGTTCCTCTGATGGCCACTTGAGGCCGACTACAAAAGTCATTCTCTATAGACTTCCATGTTAAACCCCCTAGTGTTATTTATTTCAAGCAAGTTTACAAGCATGGTACAAAAATAGTTTTGGCCTCTATAAATTCAATTCAGTTCAATTTTATTTTATTTTATAGCACCAAGGTAAACACCCTACAATCATACAAATTATCATACAGAGAAAAGTTCCAGCAGTCAGATAACCCCCTTTGAGCAAGCTCTTGGTGACAATTGGAGGGAAAAACTCCCTTTTAACAAGAAGAAACCTCTGGCAGAACCAGGCTCAGGAGGGGCGGTGAGGGGAGGAAGACAGGACAATAGACATGCTGTGGAAGAGAGCCAATGTCTGAACTCTCAACTATGAACTGTTGGTGCCATTTGAAGCATTAGTTAAGCCATTATATGACTAATATTATGGTTTACTGTAAGGTACTGACCTTCCAAGAAGTTTGTGCTTCAGTTTTGTTGAGTGCAATTCAAGTATTTTAGCCTGTTACTTGGAACTAATTACTAATTACTAATTTGTAGCGATTCTGTGAATTCCAACTGTATGGTTTATGACTGGCCTTCCAGCTTAGCAGATAGCACAGCACTACACCCTCTTGTTTCATACAGTTGTTGTTGTTTTGTTTTTTTACGTTTATTTAACAGCAGGGAAAGAGTGTGAAGCGGGGAAATCACTGGTGAGTAACAGTTCACTGAATGGGAGCGCTTTAAAAGAATTCTTGTTCCAGTGTTCAGGACAGAGTTGCAGGCTGGGGTTTTCTAGAAGGTAAGGCAGTGGAAGGCGGACAGGTGAGCTTTAACTAGATTAATCCTTTCACAGAAACTAACCAGCTCGGGATAGCAGACGATTTCTGGTGAAAGAGCTCCTTCAGCCAACTGAGAGTCATTAGGAAGCAGAGGGGAATGAGGCATTTGTGAGGAGAATTCACAGGGAGCTTCAACAAACATCAGAGAGCCTGATTACCAGAGTGGGCTCGAGCTGGTCCTTAAGTATAGGAAGGTAATGAGCTGACAGCACACAGGTGCAGAGTGGAAAGGCAACAGGCTTCACTTGCAGGGTGGGGCTTCCCAACTCCACCTGAGGGCACGCAGGGGAAAGGAGAAGAGTGGATAGTTAAGAGAGAGAAAGAAAACATGAGGGAAAAAGCCCTAACCAGCCCTGGACATGTAGTCCATCTATGGTAACATCTATGGTCCAGTGAACCAGCATCGCTGTGGTCAAAAACAGAGGCTTCAGAGTGCAGCGTCTAAATCCAATTCAATTCAATTCAATTTTATTTATATAGCGCCAAATCACAACAAAAGTCGCCTCAAGGCGCTTCATAGATACAGAGAAAAACCCAACAATCATATGACCCCCTATGAGCAAGCACTTTGGCGACAGTGGGAAGGAAAAACTCCCTTTTAACAGGAAGAAACCTCCGGCAGAACCAGGCTCAGGGAGGGGCGGCCATCTGCTGCGACCGGTTGGGGTGAGAGAAGGAAGACAGGATAAAAGACATGCTGTGTCCAGTGGGTGACATCTTCACACCTACATACATTCCTTTTATATACAGCCTATGGTGCTTGATGCAGACTCTCAAGCACTTGAAAAACCTGGTTTCAGATAGATGACTGCAAATTTTTTGCCAGTTTACACAATGCTGTCCAAAATGTGACACAATTAGGTGACATTTTGAAATGAATCCTTTAGTTTCGACTTTCTTGCTGCGAAATGTGAATATTGATGCACGACTAATGTTGCTGACTAATGTTGTTTTGTCAAAGTCTGTGGTGGGTCACATTTATCAACATTTATGCATTCAAGGTGTCCTTTGAGCATGATGCACAGGATTATGGCAAAAGTAAGACGGAGTAGTCATCCCCACCTGTCATTTTGCAGGGTTCAGGATGTTTCCTGAAACCATGACCTTTACCAAAACCTAACCAAACAGTTTTCAGGGCCTAGACCTAATCAGTGAGTGAAAGTAAAGGCACTCAGCTCAAAAGTGAGAATTAGCAGCACCTGGCAAAACAGCATTATATGATGAGAACATTTTGTGTTCTTCAACAAACTATTCTTTCAAACTAAATGAGCATTATAATGGATTAGCCAGCACCACGGGTTCCTCCATCAGGCTGAGAGAAAGACTTGAGCGCACTTTGAAATCCTGTTTATGCACTCAGCTCTGCTGCTCTTGAAGAAACTGAGGAAATTTGCCCTGAGGGCGGAAGAATGGGAGTCATGGGAAACTGAGACAGGTGAAATGTGCCAGTGGCTGAGTTGAAACGCTGAACAGCTACACTCCAGGTGTGTCCCTGGGGCACATAAATACTCTTAGCACAGACATGCACGTTTTAGCGCCAAAGTACTGTCCAGATGTCATAAACACTATAATCAGGTGGATAAGGATTCTGCGTCCACATCCCTCTCTCCCGTCCTCCCTTCCTGTCCTTCTGCTGTCCCCTCTCCCTTCATGTTTTCTGTTTGTAGAAGACCACACAGCAGATAAATGCAGCGCGTGTAGACACTGCGCCACAGTGTCTGCTGTCATATTCAGGGATTGAGGTTAAGACATAAGCATAATAAATCAGTGGTATTTCTATAACTAAAAATTCCACAATATATTCATTATATATTCATATATTTATGCTTAAGGGGAAAAAGTGCTTGCATGAACCTGTGTGTGAATGAGGATTGTAGTATAAACCACTGTGGTTACTCAAGCTGAGTTAAAAAACACTATACAACAACCAGTCCATTCACCATGTCTCTGTTACTCTTGTGAATAATTTAGCATGGAAAAGGAATTTGACAAACTGGTTTATTTACCAGATAAAGAGGCACTAAAACCAGATAAATCCAGCTTGGCTGTGATGTGTAATCCTTATTGATGTCACTTTATATTCTGAGTCCTTAGTGGGATCTGACTGACAGCTCTGCTCTACTGACTTACAGGCCAACGGACCTGAAGACCTGCCCGATGTATGAACCACAGCACTGTCCTCACCGCAGGTCCCTTTCCTCCTATTCACCCCTCTTGATGTCCTCTCTTTATTCACCTTTTTATCATCTCCTTTTTTTTGCCTCCCTCATTGTCCTTTCCATTTTTTCCTCCCTTTTCACCTCCCTTACTGATCTTTTCATCCTCCTTCTGTCTCCTCCGCCATCACTGTCCATCCCGACTGGGGCTTTGTTGAATAAATAAATCACTCACATGGTGAAGTTGATCTGCAGGTCATTTAGCTCGGTGCCATATGGTCCAACTGTGATGCTTCATAAAGTTTTTAAAGTCACAAAACAGCTATTGATATCTGTAAAAACTGCATGTACTCTACCTTGTGATAAGGACAGAGCCTGGAAGACTGCAGCACTGCAAGAAATGTTTCATTATATAAATATAATGAAACATTTTATACATGAAACATTATACACAAATAATAAGTGCATTCAGATGGTATGTGAGAGATGTAATATGTCATAGTGTTATTCACACTAAAAACAGTTTCTTTTATAAAATAAAAGTGTTCATAAGGCACACTTAACCTCCAAGGTTTGTAATCCCCATAACAGCTGTTTTCTTTTGACGATTCCTTTGGTCACTCGGCTGGTGTTTAAGACCTCCTGTTTACACCTGGTCAACGTATTGTAATAAAAACTGATCAAGGTACACCACGGTCTTTCGCAGTTCCTTTATCTTACTGTAATTATTAGGAGCAAGCTGCCATTGTTGTTTAGACAAACAGAGAAAACCTCGCTTCCAGTGCTGTGGAGGATTTTCCCCAGGAAACACGAACCCCCTCATTTGCGTGAATCAGCACATGTTTAAAGCTCGACGTGTGTGAAAGACGAATGTTCATTGTGTGGCATCAATCAGCAGTGAGTATGAGAGCCACGAATTTACTCACGCCCTTCTTTACAAAAACAAAAACAAAAAAAGAAAGAAAGAAGAAAAAGCTGGTTTCTTGAAAACATCCCTAAATAAAAGCACAACCTTTTTGCAGTTCAAAAGCTGCAACAAGAAGTAATGCTCATTAGATTCTGCATGTCAGGTCACACGCTCGCACAATGCATAATTTCAACAACATTCATTCTCAAATTTAAACAACCACTTCCTCCACTTAGTG